TTTGTTTGTTATGTAGAAGTACAAATAAAATTTATACAAAACTTATTTTCATTGATTTCACTATTGATAACATTGAACTTATCCTTAAAATGTGAATAAGTACAAGCTGTTACCAATATTGGGGTCATATACCCTCATGATCGTGTCCTTTTCTTTTCTGTTCTTTATTTTAAAGTCCCCTTCTACCAATAGATATGCGCGTTGATCACGTCCAGTTCATATTTGCCTCTATCGAGGGGTCATCTTACGGTCACGTCGTCGTACAAGATATTTTCTTCTTGTATACATTCGTGATCATCAAATAGTGTGGTTGTGCCCGCTTTAACTATTCTCATTTTTTTTCTTCTGTTCATTTGCCTCGCGTTCACTCGACACTATCTGCTACTTCTAGATCGGTCATTGTCGTCGTTGTTGGATAGGAACCCCCCATCATTTTAGTTATATTACATCAACTTAATTTTTGTTTTCGACATATAAAAATGGCACATAAAAGTCCTCGATATTGTTTATATCGAGAATTTGTTGATGCTTTCATGAAAGGTCACCCTGAAATGACTCGATGTGTAAGTATTCAATTAAAAAAAATCTTTATTTAATCGTAAAATTTTTTTTTTATCTAAAGACATCACATCATAGTGCTCAAACTGAATGGAATGAAATAAAAAAAGATGAAGAATTAGTTCGAAAAAAAAATAACTGATTATCTTGATGTTTGGAATAAAGCCGGTGCAACTACAACAACTAATACTACTACTACTACTACTGCTGCTGCTGCTACAGCAAAAAAATCTGGTCAAACAAATGGTAAAAAAGGGCCAACAAAGAAAAGTACTCGTAAACGAACACATTCAACTGAAGATGAAGATCCAAATTATGATCCAAATGTTGTTGAATCTGAAACTCCAACATTTACAAAACGTGCTAATAAACAACCAACGGAAGAAATGGATGATGAAACTTTAGCTAAAGAAAAACCATGGATTGCTCGTTCGAATGCTAAAGCTGCTAAAAAGAAAGCTCAAGCTAAAGCTCAAGCTGAAAAAGAAGAAAGTGAAAAAATTAAAACACCAGCACAAGAATCTGTATTAAAAGATTTAAAAGAAATATCTGAACGTATTGCTAATTTAATTCAAGTTAAAAGTATGGGTTTATTAACAGCTGAAAATCAAAAAACATTAAAAAAATTAATTGAACAAAAAAAAACAACGTACAACAGATTTAAAACGTCTTCAATCGAAACAACGTGCATCAACACGCTATCGTGAAAGAAAAAAACGTCGTGTTGAACAATTATGTGCTTCTAATCCTGAAGTAGCTGCTGAACTTTCAAAAATATTTCGACCAACAACAATGAGAATGCAAATTGAAGAAGATTGTCCGGATCTTTTACAAATTATTGCAGAAATTGCACGTGTTGGAGGAGCATCTGATAATAAAGGCAAAGCATGTGTATCATTAGATGATCTTAAAGATAAAATAAAAGAACGAGGATATGAAATTCGAAAATCTTCACTTTATTATCGGTATGTCAACAAAAATAAAATATTCTACTTTAAATAAAAAAAAATTTATTTTTATTTAGTCTTATGCCTAATCGTGCATTATCACATGATGGTAAAAAACATGTTGTTACTGTTCCTATTCGTCTTCGTAAATTACAAGGAATTGCATTACCACCACCCCATGAAGGTAACTATTAAAAAATAAGAACGTCTTTTTTTTCTACCTTTATTTGTTCATTCAGATTGTCATTTTACTGCTGCTGCATTAAGACATATCAAAGATTTAGCAGGTATTTTTGGTAATGATTGTGTTTTTTATTTAACACAAGATACTAAATCCAAGGTTAGTATTGGTCGACCTTCAGCTAAAGGTCAAGCACTACTTATTATGCATATGGATTATGAAATAAGTTCAGCTGAACCACAAGCAACATCAACTATGACAAATCATCAACTTAAACCATGGTAAATCTATCTATATTAAAATATTATGAATTAAACTAAACGATTATTATTATTTTTAGTGTTTATGCTGCATCACTTATTGATGAAGCAGGTTTAATTAGTTGTGTTGGTCCAACATATGTTTCTATTCGATCAGCTAAACATGATCGTATAACACATGAAACTCATGCAATTGATTTTGATCGTTTAGTACAAATGAAAGAATTTGAAAAATTTGCACGCGATCATCTCGGTCGTGTTAAACCCATTGTTGTTATTAATGTGGATAATTGTGGTTCAGAAAATAATACACGTTATCCAAAAGTACTTTCAACAGCAATTGATAAATTTAAAAAACATAATTTAGATGCACTTATTATGACAACACAAGCACCAGGTCAAGCTTTATTTAATGTTGTTGAACGACGTTTATCACCAATGTCACATGATTTAGCTGGTCTTATTTTTCCACATGATCATTTTGGTACACATTTAAATGATACAGGTGTAACTGAACATGCTGAATTAGAAAAAACAAATTTTAAAATGGCTGGTGATGTTTTAGCTGAAGTTTGGAGTATGAATGTACTTGATGAACATCCTGTTGTTGCTGAATATATTAATCCATCACCATTAGTTGATGAACAACTTAAAATGGCTGATAGTACATTAACTTTAGATAGCATCATTGATCGGTATGATATTTAAAGATATTGAATAATACAACAAATAATAATTCATTTTTTAATCTTCTTTAGAGTTTGTGCTGAAGAAGATGAAGAAGCACCACTTGATCAACGTGTTAGTCAAACACGTCCAACTACAACCATTCCAACAACAGAAATCAAGACCGAATACGATATTGATGAGTAAGAAATTATCTATATACATGTCTAAGTCTAATGTAGATTATACTATACTCAAAATGACATCTACAAAACTGATATATACTAGAAATAAGATTTCATAAATATAACTTAATTACTAAGAAAGCCAGATTATGAAGTATGTCTTTTATTGTAGATATTGGTGTGCAACTCATGTTCTTCAAACTCAATATACAATACAAATTATTCGTTGTAATAATCCATCATGTTGTACACCATGGCGTTCAAACTATATTCAGGTATTTCCTCATCGTTTTCTTCCACCACCTGTACCATTTAATCGTTCATCACGTGGTGTTAAAATGGTGAAATTGAATTTAATGCTGC